AGCCATACACATACAGATATCCCCTAACAGTAAAGTATTTTAAATTAAGGTATGTAAAGTCAGAACTTTTTCTGATTTGGCTGACTGGTTTTCTAATTAGGGTATATAGCAGATATTCTCTATAAATTGGATGAGTGTAATCTGCAGTTCCAAAATTTGTTTTCAAAAATACATTTAAAAAATGTGTTAAAGCATTTCATCAAAAACACTGCATTGAAAAATGTATTAAAATTAACAATATTTTAATTTTCCTAATTGTTTCTTGAGTATGTTGAACTAAACAAGGAGTCTTTAAAACTAAATATATGATTGGTCCTACTCAAGCTTTTTGGTATACTCTCCAGAAAAAGAGAAAGTGAATGACTCTAGTGACTAGTTAACAAATCGTTTTTCATTCAGTTTATGTTCAATTCTTTACTCAGTTTATTTTCAACTCTTTGCTTTCAACAAAGAAAACTTGATAGATCACTAAAAATAATTATTAATAATAGTTTACTATGCAATTTTGGGGGGCATATAATTCAGAATTTGTCCAAAAAACTGAGGGACAATGCAACAACAAAATTTCCATTCTTACATATATAGCAATGCTAACAAAGTTCCTCAGGATTTACTTATATAAAAATTGAAAAATGGAAGAGTAATAAGTAATATAAATTTACCTCATTAAGAAATATTGGGACTTCCCTGGTGGCAGAGTGGTTAAGAATCTGCCTGCCAATGCAGGGGACACAGGTTTGAGCCCTGGTCCAGGAAGATCCCACATGCTGCGGAGCAACTAAGCCCGAGTGCCACAACTACTGAGCCTGTGCTCTAGAGTCCACGAGCTGCAACTACTGAGCCCGTGCACCTAGAGCCTGTGCTCTGCAATAAGAGAAGCCACTGCAATGAGAAGCCTGCGCACCGCAACGAAGAGTAGCCCCCACTTGCCGCAACTAGAGAAAGCCTGTGTGCAGCAATGAAGACCCAACACAGCCAAAAATAAATAAATAAATATTTTTAAAAAGAAATATTTATGTGTAATAATTATTAAAATTTGTAATGTTATGTTGACAACTATAGATAAAATCAGAGTAATGATAATTACAACACAGAAAGAAAAAAATTATTCTAACAAGTATTTTTCCTAATAATAGGAATTTATCTTCCTAGTAACTAATTTTCCTACTAATAGGAAATTAATAATTTAATTTCAATTTACATGCTATGTATCAGACAAAAGTCATTAAAACAAAAGTATATTATACTAAAATAAAGTTCAATGGGACAGAGATGTAAAATTTCTGACTATTGTAGAATTGCTTCATTAAAAAAAATTAAATCATGGTATAATGCCTCTATAGTTAGATTACCTGGGTACACTTAGTAGAAACACTTAGCAGCTTTTTAAAAAAATGTGAATATTTAAAATTTACTGGAAAAGATTTTTTTGTAATTATTTAAATTTAAGACAAAAAATTTCAGACATAAACTTAAAAATGAGAAGTAATATAATTTAAAATAATAAAATAAAGATAATAAAGTAATATATCAATAGTTTAAAAGGTTATTTGAATGGGTACATGAACAACAAAAAAAAATCTAAGGACAATACTATCCAAACCACTGCTTCTAGCTTTAGGTGTTCAGATTTGGAGTGTTTGCAGATTCGAGGAATTCAGATTTTCAGCTTCTTACTGAATGGTATCAGTATAAAGACATGTTATATCCTAAAATATTCAACCAAAAAAAAAGAAAAGAAAAACCAGTACTCAATTTTACCCAGGATGGGAGAAAAGTAAAGGGTTATTAAGCCATAGGGTAGCATGTATCAAATTAACTGCCTGACTTAGAAATTCTCTATTAACAACCTTCTGAATCATGATGCATGCCTGGACTGAAAAATAGCATTCTTCACCAAGAGTTAAAATTTGGGGAGCTTTCATGGGTAGGAAGAATTAGTATTGTTAAAATGACCATACTACCCAAGGCAATCTACAGATTTGATGCAATCCCTATCAAAATACCAATGGCATTTTCTGCAAAGCTAGAAAAACAAAAAACCCAAATTTGTATGGAAACACAAAAGACCCCCCCCCCCAAATAGCCAAAACAATCTTGAGAAAGAGCAAAGCTGGAGGTAACATGCGCCCTGATTTCAAACTATACTATAAAGCTACAATAATCAAAACAATATGGTACTGGCACAAAAACAGACACATGATTAGTAGAACAGAGAGCCCAGAAATAAACCCATGTATTGGGTTGGCCAAAAAGTTCGTTCGGGTTTTCCATAACAGCTTATGAAAAACCCGAACAAACTTTCTGGCCAACCCAATACTTATGATCAATTAAACTATGACAAAGGAGGCAAGAATATACAATGGGGAAAAGAAAGCCTCTTCAATAAATGGTGCTGGGAAAACTGGACAGCTATAGGCAAAAGAATCAAACTGTACTACCTTTTCACATCATATACAAAACTACACCCCAAATGAATTAAAGACTTAAATGTAAAACCTGAAACATTAAAACTCCTAAAAGAAAACATAGGCAGTATGCTCTTGACATCAGTCTTAGCAATATTTTTTTGGATATGTCTCCTTAGAAAGGGAGACAAATGCAAAAATAAACAAAAATAATTAAAAAATGGGCAGAGGACCTGAACAGAAATTTTTCCAAAGAAGACATTCAGATGGACATCAGGCACATGAAAAGATGCTCAACATCATTAATCATCATGGAAATTCAAATCAAAACCACAATGATATATCGCCTCACACCTGTCAGAATGACTATTATCAAAAAGACAACGAAAAACAAGTGTTGGAGAGGGTGTGGAGAAAAGGGATCCCTTGTGCACTGTAGGTGGGAATTTAAATTAGTGCAGCCACTATGGAAAACAGTATGGAGATTCCTCAAAAAATTAAAAATAGGACTACCACACAATCCAGGAATTCCACTTCTGGGAATTTTTCTGGAGAAAATAAAAGCACTAATTTGAAAAGACATATGCACCACTGTGTTTACTGCAGTATTATTTATAACAGCCAAGGTATGAAAGCAATCTAAGTGTCCATTGATAGATGAATGGATAAAGATGTGGGGGGTATACACACACACACACACACACACACACACACACACACACAATGGAATATTACTCAGCCATAAAAAAGAATGAAATCTTGCCATTTGCCACAACATGAATGGACCTAGAGGGTATTATGCTAAGTGAAATAAGTCAGACAGAGAGAGACAAATAGTATATGATTTCACTTATAAGTGGAATCTAAAAAACAAACCAAAAAAAGAACAAACATAACAAAACAAAAGCAGACATACATACAGAGAACAAAACTGGTGGTTGCCAGAAGGGAGGCGGGTTAGGGGATGAGTGAAATAGGTGAGGGAGCTTAAGAGGTATAAAATTCTAGTTATAAAATAAATAACTCATGGGGATCTAATGTACAGCATAGTAATTATAGTCAATAATATTGTGATAACTTCTTATGGTGACAGACAGTAACTAGACTTATCATGGCCGCTTTGTATTATATAGAAATACTGAGTCACTATGTTGTACACCTGAAACTAATATAATATTGTTAAGTCAATTATACTTCAAGGAAAAAAAAAAAAACTATTAGAAGGCACTGGAAAGCCACCAAAGGCAGGCAAAAAGCCTGAGCTTACTTTGAAAAGATGTTGGCATAAAGAGTAAGAATTGTGAGTTTGTGGCTTTTTGCCTGAGGGTGCTCCCAATACCCTCTTTCTACTCTACAGAAAAATCAGTCTTACTGCCTCCAGGACAGAGTCAGGGTTGATGGAACAGCTAGAAATTTAAAGGGGGTAATCCTTAAAGGGAGAGACCTGCAGAAAGGGTAAAATGCAAAATCTGAGTACAAAATCTACCAGTATCCCAGGCCGACCAATGGGTAAGCATGTACAATGGAGAGTCTGAGGAGCTAGCCAAACAGTAGGTGCACATGAGAGAGGAGTTAAAAAAAAAAAATTAAGGGAGCTTCAGGATGTATTTCTTTCACTGAGGTACTTAGTTAAATTATATCATTTAACAAGAGTGCCTCCACAGTGGTAAAGTTATTGGCTGCATTATCAATATTACTGCAAAGTGTTCTGCTGGACCAAATCACAAGCTTTACAAAAAACCACCACCCTAATCTTTCAAGACCATCAGACACACAGCAGCAGTTCTGGAGCACTAGCTAAGGCTCCTAAATACAGCATCTCAATTAAACAAAAAAAAATCACAGAAAAAGAACTTTTTATCAAAGTATCTAAAAATAATTGTAATAATTTCAATTGGTAACATTTCTTTACCACTCACAGATGAGAGTGCAGCCTCTAATGTGTAGGCTGATACTGATTTAAATAGACAAAGAAGGAAGGCATTTTAGTAAAAGGAAGTGAGATCTTTGATTGACAGTTCTTAGGAGAAGGTTAAAAATTCAAAAGGAGTGCCTGTATGTGGCTCAGAACCTAAAAGCCTTTTTCTCCTCCCAACAGAAGAACAGTCTCAAGTAATAACTGGTTGCCATGGAGATAAGAAACTAGAGAGATCAGAGAACTCAATTTGCAGTTAAATAGGCTGGAAACAATCCTTACTACTTGGTGAAGGAAAGCGATTAAAAATATACATGATTGCCAGAGGGAATCTTCTTCACCTAGCATTTCCTAACCTCATTAATGAACAAGAAGTCTAAAAAACCAAATGAAAACCCAAGGTGTCTTGGATTGAACCCATTAAACAAATTCAGGACTTCAAATGTTATCAAAATCCTTTCTCTTCCAGATGACTTTGATTCTTTTTAACGGTACTTGTTAGTAAATACTGGAATGAGACTAAAATTGTGTTCAAGAACAAAGTAGTATACCTGACGGGACTGGAGCATCAATGGAAAAAAAAGAAGCATGACAAATGGAAAGGTAACCAGAGTAAGAAATAGATTCAAGTGGTGAAAATCCAGATTTTGAAAAATCTTTTCACAATCAATGAATACCTTTGTGAGTGCTGTAAAGGGCTGCAAACGTCACCGTGAAGAAAGTCGTGGAGTATTTCCCAGCATTAACTAAATGAGGAAAGGCCCTTTTTGTGTCTCGGTATCGGCGCAGGCACTGGATAAAGCGAAGCCAAGCAGGAATGCACTGAACAATAGCCCGCACACCATATGAGTAATTGTGGCAAATTTCTGGTTCTGTGAAGATTTCAAAGAAGAAAAGACTACAATTAAAAAAAAATAACTTGTTCACATCATTTAGAGTCATATATTGTAACCACTAGGAAGTCCATAAAAGCAAGGAACCTGGGTTTCAGAATCACTTTTTTCTTTGCAACTATTATATTCTTAAACTTTTTAGTGGTTGATAAGCTGAGAAGAGAAGGTAAAATACACAGTGGGAACTTAGAAAAATCTGCCGGCTCAGATTTCTGACTATCTATTCTGGAATCACCTTCTTTGGAGTGTGGTAAAACTATAAGACAATTAGAAAATGAGTACACTAATCAAGGAGAAAAAAATTAGCTCTGAAACATCTGGAAAACCTATATATATCACTGGTGACTAGAGTCAATTTCATGAACGCCAAACCACTACAATATACCCACTATAGGTTGTTCACACTCTTGTTCTTTAAATAAAACGAACAAAGAAAACAAACAGCAGAGTTTATACTTTTAAAATGAGAAGAATAGAGTTCGTAAATCAATTTTCTTCAAATTCTGGAAATGTATCCGAGTGGTTCAACATACAATAGAATTGTGATCTGCTGGCATCAATGAAAATGTGTTGGCACTGGCTTCATTAACTTTTGTTAGTCAGATGTTACATAATCTGTCTAAAGTTGGTCTTTGTCATTAAGGCAAAATTCCTTAGTAACTTGAACACCTGGCATAAACAAAGAGTGATAAAAAGAGCCAAAAGAAAAATAAGGTCCCCAAGAAGAATTAAAAAACATCTATGACTTTCTCAAAGCACTTGATCTAATTTCTAAATTATCAGTATTTTTGATCATAGTAAAGCAATACTGTGATAGCAATTGTTGACACTAAAGCATCTGTGATTTAATTACCAATGTATTAGAAGTTTTTTAGTTTTAGAATTCTTTAAGTGTAAGTTGTAAATCTCCTGGCAAATGAATAGCTAAAATTATAAAATATAATTTAAGAGCCAAATTGTATCCGATAAAGAGATTGCTAAAGGAGTGCCAAGTACATTTAATTAAATTTGTAATATTATTGGATGATCTTAAATTTCTCAGTTATCATTCCCAGTATTTCTTGGTTTACACTGGCAGTTCAGTAGTGTGGATGCACATTCATACCCTACCTTCTGAATCATTTGGCAACAGGCCCCCACTTTCATCCCATTTGAGCTCAAAACTGTAGAAGCAGATCATATATTCCAGGTCCATCAGTATCACTGACAGGCTGTTCAGCTGATCGGCCAGCCAGAAATCAGCAAAGCCTACCTTATGGAAGGGGGCTGTAAATACTCGAAACTGGGAGAAAGAAAAAAAATCAGAAAACACAGAAACAAGAAAGTTCATATTAAATTTCTCTAATTCATGTCTGACCCTGCAGCATGATTACCTTAGTTGATAAAATGGAAACCAATGAACCAATCACAAACACAGGGACCTGGCAACAGTGGCTAGGTTGAGAATTGGTAATGAAGGGAATGAGTTGAATGGACAACTAAGAAAGGAATTAAAAGGGTGGGGCAGGGGGAAGGCAGGAATAGCTACAGTCAGAAAACAGAAAGCAGAGAGGTGGGAAGAGCTGAAGTGGAAAGCAGAGAGAATGGCACAAATGCACCGAGAGGACATTTAGCGTTAGTCTAAATTAAATTTTTTTTTTTCTAAATTAAATTTTGCTGGAGACCCATGTGCTATGATAATTTCTGGAATATTCTCCCATCTTAGCTAACTGAATACAAAGCTTTTCTTTGCCTACACAGGATAGGAAGGGGAGGATAGCGCCTCGTCTGAAGTATGTATTATTCTCTAACCAAAGTCACTTTCATTTCACTAATGCCATGATGATAATTGTATTTGTCTTCAAATTATGCCACAAAAATCAGCCCACATCCCACTGTTACAAAAACAATGATAAATAAATTCCGGTTACATGTCTTGAGCACTAATCCACTCTGTGTATTTTTCTCATAATGCATTTCTTATAATCCATTAACTATAACAATTCTGAGCTAGGTGTTATCCATATCCCCATTTTGCAGAAGACCTATAACAATAACTCCTCCTGACTCTATCCTGTGGAAGCCTGTTTACTACTGCAAAGGAAAATCCTGGCATTGCAGAGAGAGAAAGAATTAGATACTAATCATCAGAAATAAGCTCAAATTGTACAGGCTGTCTTGAAAGGCCTTGAGTGAAGTGAAGATGGGATGAAGGCAGCTTTCCTCCTCACCCTGTTAGACCCTTTCTATCTTACACAGGTGAAAATGGACTCCTAAAACAAGGAATTCTGGCTAAGCAACAGTTTTGTGAAAATGAGTCTAAAGCTATAGCTCTCCTGCCATCTAGGTATATTCATTTAATGGACATATCCAGCCTGGGAGACTATGGCTCTCGTCTCTCAGACTTGGCTGGTTCTTTCTATTCTTTCTCTAAATAATTCCCTTGATTATTTCAGGGAAATAATAAATGACTATATTACAAATCAATCCTGGGTGTCAACTATCTATGACAGGTATTGTCTTGGAGCTTTGGAATTTAGACCAGGGGTCTTACAGGACACAACACAGGCTTTAAGACATTACTTTCTGGAGCTGATATATTTTGTGTCCACGGTTCAATCTCTGATCACTCACTTGCTCTTTCAGAAAGTTGTTCAGTAAGCCAGATGAGATGTTACCATTTGCAACCATAAGCTCCAGATACAGCAAACTTTTTTTTTTTTTCAGGGTAGGGTGGGGTAGGAGGTTATTAGGGATTGAGATGTTAATCATTTATGCTCAAAGAGGTTCTGGTACCAGTTTATATAATATTTTAAGAAACTCTAGGTACAGAATGGATTTAAAAGATTCAAAGAGACAGAAACAAGAGAATAATTTAGGATATAACAACAAAGGATCAAGAAGTCTTACTCAGTCTAGTCATGGACTTTTGTGAAACTGGTAGCCTAGGGCAAACTTCTCATTTCTCACTGACGTTAGACAGACTACCATTACTGTCACAACCTGCCACACCCAGCCTCAAAACCTGGCTATTACAGAAAACCTCTGTAAGAGCAGAAGGGGAGGACAGTGTATTAAATAAGAAACAAAGAGATAGAGGGATGCACTAGAAAAGGAAAGGAGTGACATAAAATAAAAATTGGAAGGAAGGGAAAATTTACAGAAGAGAGAAGATGAAAAAAGGAAGAAAGAAGGGAGTGGTAAACATTGGTATAAGACAATTAATGAAGGTAAGAACATAATTACAGTCATTCATACATTTAACAAAGATTATTAAGTATTTACTATATGTCAGGCATTGTGGAGGTACTAAATAAATAAAACATGGCCTGTACCCTTAAAGACCCACAATCCCTTTGGTCAAATAATAAATACCTAAAGAAATAATGACAGCACCATGTGGTAACTGCTATTACAGATAGGCATACAAAATACCCTGGAAATACAAAGAAAGGAACAAGTAGTTTGGTCAGAGGTAGGGTGAGTGGAAATGAAAATAAACAGATCATACTTAACTCCCTGACATTAACACATAGTCAAATTCATCTTAGATTTATCTGAATGCCCCCTTTTTTTTAAAAAAATTATTTATTTATTTATTATTTTTGGCTGTGTTGGGTCTTCGTTTCTGTGCGTGGGCTTTCTCTAGTTGCGGGGAGCGGGGGCCACTCTTCATTGCGGTACGCGGGCCTCTCACTGTCGCAGCCTCTCTTGTTGTGGAGCACAAGCTCCAGACGCGCAGGCTCAGTAGCTGTGGCTCATGGGCCCAGTTGCGCCGCGGCATGCGGGATCTTCCCAGACCAGGGCTCGAACCCGTGTTCCCTGCATTGGCAGGCAGATTCTCAACCACCGCGCCACCAGGGAAGCCCTGAATTCCCCTTTTTGAGTGAGAATTCTCCTTCCTTTCTTATTCTGGCTAAGGTCTTTCAACTTCTACTTTGTTGTGATTTAAATTAAAATGATAACCATTCACTGAGTAACTGTATGAAGAAAGCTACAGACAACCTGGATATCTGATGTTTTACCCACATACACAAAAAGACCACTAACAAGTTATTACAAAGAATGTATGTTATCATCTTCTAAGTTAAGATGATGAAGTTAAGGAGGTAAACAGTTAAGGAGATGAAGTCTTAATTTCTACTTGTGGATAATCACATTCTTTCCAAATCTGATTTTAAGGTTCCTGTTAGGTGATCCACTAATCAAAGTTAAACATGTAGATAAAGTGACCACCAGGTCTAACTGTTAAATGGTAGTGTTTAAGAACACAGATTATGGAGCCAGAACGCCTGGGTTCATATCCCATCTCCATTACATCCTGGCTTTGTGACCTTATTTAACTTCCCTGAACCTAGGTTTCCTCATTTATAAACTGTGGATTAATAGTAGCTCCAACCTCATGGTTTATTAAAAGGATTAAATAAGTTGATACATATAAAATGTCCAGAATAGTACATTATTAAATGAGAACATTTCTCTAATCTATTCTTATAATAGACATGTGTAAAACTTTTATTATACAACTAAAGAAAATACTGGAAAAACCAATTCCAAAATAATATAGCAAAAGACTCTAATTTAAAAACTTTATGCAGCCTTCTATAAGAATAACTTGATACTTTTGTTTAGAAAATCTGAGGCATTGTTTATGCTTCCTAACTGGATTTCCAAGTAGGACAAATACAGATCTGGAGAGAGGCTATATGACCTAATGAATGTAAATAAACTGTATTAATCTGACATATAATACTAATATCAAAACAAATCAATTTCTTAAAAAAATTTTTTTAGCTTCTTTTGGGGAGAGGAGTAACATATCAATTCCATAGATTCAAATTTAAATATGAATATAAGTGGTGCCCAGTGCCTACCACTATGGCCAAGTGACATATGTTCTTTTTCCACCAAAAATTAAAGAAAAAAAGAAAAAGGGAAATGTAGTTTACTTTAGGATGAAGCTTTAAGAAAAGCTGTATCAGAAAAACATAACTAGGGTAGAAACGTTCTTGTTAAATCACTAGAAATAACTCTAAGGGTAAATTTTCTCAGTGAGATTTGAATTAAAATAAGTCAATAGGTCAATTAATAGTAAAATATTCTATAAATAACATTTTTACTATTTACAATTATTACAAACATACCAAATCACAATGCTTGCTTCCGTATTTCACTGCTTCTGAGAGTATATTTTACTATTCTCTTATTTCTTATTACACCCCTGCCAACCCATTCCATCAACAGTCCTCATTTATTAACACACAACAGATGCACAGATAAATGTCTACTCAATGGGGAATCGTTCTGCTAATAAGAATAACTGGTCATTCATGAATCATACCCGCTTCCTATTTAAACAAAGAAGGATGCAATGGGGAAATGTTCACTTAGCACATAATGTACACAACTGTATTATTTTGTTATTGTAATGATGCAATCATATTAACAACTGAGTTTTCTAAGTCTTTCAAATCTCATTTGAAAATAACTTTATAGAGATTTCACAATAATTTAGGAAGGAAAAATAGGTGTTTATAATCTTGTAGTTATTTCCTTGTAACCAGAAGAATATTAACATTTTTTATGCAAATAACACAGTTTAGAAACTCCACAAAATCTAGAAATAAAATGACAATCTCAAAATAAGAAAGGTAATCTAATATTGTTGTACTAACTGGAAATGATTTATTTTTAGTATAAATTTCAAGAGAAAAAAAAGGCTCAATTTTTTCTTTTGTCTTAAATAAAAAAAAATCTAAAAAGCATGTTTTCTAGATGATGACAAAACACATTAAAGGTGATGGTATAACTTATGACTTATTAAAACATGCTTGAACATCTAAGTTCCACACTCAGAATTCAAACTCAAAATTAGGCCTAGTGGTGCTATACTTTAAGGGGATGATTTGCTTCCTTGTTTGCTTGCTTATTTATTTATTTATATTGAATGAAGTTGGTGGAAAAGAGGGAGATTCTCAGTTTGTGATAAAAATCCTAGTGGAAGAAAGAAGAAATACAAATACATGAACAATTAACTTTGGGGGGAAAAAAATCAAGATTTGGGTCATTTTGTTTTTCAGATTGCTATAAATACCTGCCTACATTGGACATAGGCTGCTTTTATTTGTTGACTGCTTACTATGTTTTTTTAATTGGAAGGTCATATTTTATTTCTTCAGATTTTAAAATTTTAGTTAATGCTAAAGAGAGCATATTGCTAAGAACAACAACAAAAATTATCCTAAACCTAAGGGGCATACAAAAGGAAAAAGAAATTAAAACTATAGTTTTCAAGGCAATATACTTTATAAGGTGAAAAAAAAGTGAGACGATAATTATGAGAATTCTGGAAGTCTGTGGAGATTGGTCAATTTAATTACTAACCATCACTCTACTGTTAGTTGTAATTTGTAATCTAAGAAATAATTATACGAAAGCATTCCCAATTGATTTTCAAAATAGAGCTGGTTAAATTTGGAAGTAAGCAGAAGTTCCTTTCCAGAGCAATCTACAATATCCCAAAAAATATAGCTACCATTTTTGCAGGAAATTCTATATCCTAATGCTGAGACTGCTTGATTTTGAGACCATTAAGAAATACGTAAAGTGGAAGAAGAAATGGAATTTATAAAGTCAATTTCTCAAATTAAACTTGGTGACCTGACAAGATATTCCTACTGCTTTTAGAGAACCAATACTTCATAAAATAAAAATGTTTGATTGACTACTTATAGCAATTTAACAGGAAAGCAATAGTTTTAGCACTTAAAAAAAGGGAAAATTCTACATGTTATCACAGTTGATTAATCTTTAAAGTAATTAATTATGAATTATTAATTTGCAAAGTCATTTCAGTATCTCGACACTTCATATTCCATTTTGGAGGAAAAAATGTGTGAGTGCTTTTCCCAGGGCCACTGTTACTGCACAACATCAGGTGTGCCCGCCATACTGCATTCTTTGCCCCTGGAGCTGGGGTACCACTCATTTAGACTACAATGTGAACATGCCTTCTGAAGTTGTGCAATACAGGAGTTTTGTTTTCATTCTGGGGGAAGCCAATGACCAATATACCACTCTAAAAATGATACACAAATTTCTGGACTTACCAGCAGTTTAAGCAGCCAAAACCGGGATTTATAATAGAAAGTTTTGGTGGGGTTGATGAGAAAGAAAACCATAAACCCGTAAAGGACAAGTGGGTACACATATGTGGGGATGACACTAACTGGAGCAAAGAAGCATGCCAGAAGGCTCAGGCACCACAATATCCCGAGGAATCCAGCAATCTGATAAAGGATGGGAAAGACAAAAAGAAAGAAAATTATTTTTATCTCTACCATTACTTAAAAAATCTTTAATAAAACAGAGGTAAGAAAAATGTTTAATTATTACATCAACAATCCTCTTCAAATAGAAAATAGATTTTAGTACCCACTAAACCAGCTATATGGCTAATGTAAACTATATCCATGGGATTTTATGTCTTGCTTTGATTACCTCAAAGAGATGCTGATGAGACAAATTGCTTCTCGGATTAAGTTCAAAGATGAGCACATGATTTACTCCAGCCTGTCTCCAACCATACGTGTTGATGCCCAGTAGAAAAAGGAATTCAATCAGAAGAAAGCCACCACGATAGATTCTTATCAAGGGCCAAATACTTCTATCTGTTTCAAGTTTAAATACAGCTGAAAGAATATCAACTAATTGGTTAGTTAGAAAATTTATAATGCCTCCATTAATTGTCTTTCTCTTAATTCTCAAGGATATAACCCTGGCATAAGAATTTTTAATAAATAAAACGTAAACCTAGGTTATCTCAAGAGCCTGATAAACTTGCTTAGAGGTTCTTTCTCTTCTTCATTTCACTCTGCAAAATTCCACCAGAAAAATTTTCCTAAAATTTGACTTTCAGCATATTAGTCCATGGTGAAATAATTTAAAACCATCAGATCAGTTCTGTCAGCTGGGGATTTCTGGCATGACACAACTTCTTTGGCTTTGTTTTGTCCATCACTGAACTGGATATAGTAATGCCTAGCTCACAGCGTTACTATGAAAATTATAAGAAAGAGTATATATGAAAGCAATGTGAAAATTGAAATGTCATATAAATGACAACAATTAGTATTTATAGAATGCTTACTATGTGCTAAGGATTGTATTTTTACATATAACAATTCATCTAATCTTCACAATGGCTCTGTGAGTTAAAAACTATTATCTCCATTTGATTGATGAGAAAACTACAGCAGAGAGGTTAAGTAATTTGCTCAGGTTTACCAAGCTAGGATAAAGCAGAGCCAGGATTTTAACTCAGACAGTTTTGCTCCAAAGCCCATACTCTTAATTACTACATTCAATTGCTCATATGCCCATACAAACATTCAGTATCACTACTATCCTATAGATCGCCAATAATTATGACATTCAAACGTTTCAGCCTCGCAATTCAAGTTCTTCACAATCTGATCTCCAATTAAGTTTCCCAAATTTATAGCGCCCCTAAATTCTTATTTCCTGATAAATTTTATTATCCTTTTAACAAACTCATTTTGCTTATGTTGTCCCCTATACCTAAAATGGCCTTGCTCTTTTTTTTGACCAATTCTATTTCTACTTATTACTTAAGAACCAGATTCTCATCTGTTCATAAATTTATTGAATCAATGTTTCATTTTGAGCCTATTCTGTACCAAACATTTCAATTTGGCTACCAATTTCTCAATTTTCCAAATAACTATAAAATTTACTGTTAGCACTACTCATTTGAAATTTAATTATATACATCTTATATACTTAAATAACCATTTATTATTTATCTTTGTATTCTCTATAGCACATAGCACATTTAATAATTTAAAAATAACAAGGTAGAGAAAGCCTTTGCTTTGGAGTCAAATACTACATACCAGATTTCAAATCCTAGCTTTACTAGGGCAAATTATTAAATTTTTCTAAGTCTCAGTTTCTTTGTTGGTCAATGGGGAGAATATTCTCATAAGTTTGTTAAGAAGATTAAATCTGAACAAGATATACTAAATGCCTAAAACAGTACGTTTGGCCCATTTTTGAATATTCAGTATATATCAGTTTCTTTTTACTTGATGAAAATTCATTTTTTCATTAATTTGACAAATATTTATTGGGTGCCCATTATGTGTGACACCATTCTAAAAGCAGGAGATTCAGTAATGAACAACAGACAAAATACCTGTCTTCAGGCAACTTCTATTCTGTACAATGTCAGATAGTGAGATAAGTATTTTGAAGGAAAAAAAGTAAAGAGATAAAGAATGTTAGGTGCTATTTTAGGTAGGGTGGTCAAGAAAACTTCTCAGAAGATGACATTTGCAGGAACCTTAAGGAAATAGAGACTCAATCATGTGACTCTCTGGAGGAACAGGGCTCCAAGTAGAGGGAAAGTACAAAGGGCCTTAAGATAGGTATAAGCCTTGTGTAGTCCAGGAACAGGAAGAAGGCCAGGGCACTATGACTGGAATGAATAAGAGGTAAAGTGGCAAAAAGTTACCTACAGGCAGATCAGGTAGGACTTTGTCAAGACTTAAGCTTTTACTCAGATGTATGAAGCCAATGAAAGGTTTTTCACATAATTGGTATGACCAGATTAATAATTTTAAAGGACTACTCTAGCTGTCATGTGAAGAACAGACTGCAAAGGAACAAGTACGGTAGCAAGAAGATTAGTTAGGAGGTTGAAAATAAAAAAATATATATATGGTCTTACATCCTGATTCCCAACCAAAGACCACATATATATTATAACATTCAGGAAACAAAAATAATAAGTATAAATCCCAAAGAATACACAAATAAACTACTAGAGCCAATAAAATCAACAAAGTTGCAGAGTACAAGATCAACACAAAGGGACTTCCCTGGGGGCACAGTGGTTAAGAATCCTCCTGTCAATGCAGGGGACACGCGTTTGAGCCCTGGTCCAGGAAGATCCCACATGCCATGGAGCAACTAAGCCTGTGTGCCACAACTACTGAGCCTGTGCTCTAGAGCCTGAAAGCCACAACTACTGAGCCCGTGTGCCACAACTATTGAAGCCCACACGCCTAGAGCCTGTGATCCGCAATAAGAGAAGCCACCACAATGAGAAGCCCAAGTACCGTAACGAAGAGTAGCCCCCACTCGCCGCAACTAGAGAAAGCCTGCATGTAGCAATGAAGACCCAACGCAGCCAAAAAAAAAAAAAAAAAAGATCAACACACAAAACTCAGTTGTCCTTATATAAACCACCAATGAACAATCTGAAATGAAATTAAGAAAACAATTCCAATTACAACAGCAAACAAAAGAATAGAACACCAAGGAATAAATCTAACCAAGGAGGTGAAAGACTTGTACATTGAAAATTACAAAACACTGCTGAAAGAAATCCCATGTTCATGGATTGGAAGACTTGTTCAAATGGCAATGTTACCCAAAGTATTCTACAGATTCAATACAATCCATATAAAAATTCTAATGGCCTTTTTTTGCAGAAATGTCAAATCGATACTCAAATTCATATGGAATTGTAAGAGGCCCCAGATAGCCAAAACAATATTGAAAAAAGAACAAAGTTGGAGAACTCACAATTTCTGATTTCAAACTGTACTACAAAATAGTGTGGTACTGGCATAAAAAAATATAGACAAATAGAATAGATTGAGAGCTCAGAAATAAACTTCTACATCTATGGCTGATGGATTTTCAATAAGACAACCAAGACTATTCAATGAAAAAGAATATTCTCTTCAACAAATGGTGCTGAGACATTTGGATACTCACATGCAAAAGAATAAAGTTGAATCCATACTTCACAGCATGTACAAAAATTAGTTCAAAATGAATCAATGAGCTAAATATAAGAGCTAAAACCATAAAACTCTTGGAAGAAAATATAAGGGTAAACCTTCAGGACCTTGGATTTGGCAATGGAAGTCTTAGATATGACACCAAAAGCATGAATAACACAACAACAAAAACAGATAAACTGGATTTCACCAAGTTAAAAAATTTTGTGCATCAAAGGACATTATCAAGAAAGTAAAATGACAATCTATAGAATGGGAGAAAATATTTGCAAATTATATATCTGATAAGGGTCTAGTATCCAGAATATATAAAGAACTCTAGTAACTTAGCTATAAGAAGACAACTCAATTTAAAGATGGGCAAAGACTTGGGTAGATATTTTTCCAAAGAAAATATACAAATAGCCAATAAGCACATGAAAAGATGGTCAATGTCATTAGAAAAATGCAAATCAAAACCATAACTTCAAACCCACTAGGATGGCTATAATTAAGAAAAAAGAAAGGGAAATCACAAGTGTTGATGGGAATGTGGAGAAAATGGAACCCTCATAAATTGCTGGTGGAAACAGAAAATGATGGAGCCTCTGTGGAAAACAATTTGGTGGTACCTCAGAAGGGTAAAAAGCATTATCATATAATTAAGCAATTCCACTCCTAGGTATATATCCGAAAAAACTGAAAATGGGTACCCAAACAAATCCATGTATATGCATGTTCACAACAGCAAAACTCACATTAGTCAAAAGGTAGAAACAACACAGCATAGTTATATTCAGTTTTGGTGATACTACCAAACAGTTCTCCAAAGTACTATACCCACTTCCACTCATTCACTTTCATATCTTCATGGTATTCCATTGTATAGGGGTAATGTCATTTATTTTCTTAAACAGTTCCTGATAGACATTTGAGCTGTTCCTAGGATTTTGCTATTATAAACAAAATAGTGGTGAATACCCCCCTTTCATATATGTCTTTGCACCCATGTACAAGTATGTTTATAAGATAAACTTTTAGAAATAAAATTGCTTAATCAAAGTGATTGTACTAAAAAATTTTTACATATGCTGCCAAATTATCCTCTAAAGAGACTGTGACAATTAATACTTTACCACTAGTGTATGAGTGCTTGCTATTTCACACTCTTATATGCACTTATTATTATTATTTTTTTTTTTTTTTTGCGGTACGCGGGCCTCTCACTGTTGCGGAGCACAGGCTCCGGACGCGCAGGCTCAGCCGCTCTGCGGCATGTGGGATCTTCCCAGACCGGGGCACGAACCCATGTCCCCTGCATCGGCAGGCAGACTCTCAACCACTGCGCCACCAGGGAAGCCCTGCACTTATTATTTTTTTTACTTATTTTTTTTTTTTGTGGTACGCGGGCCTCACTCTTGTGGCCTCTCCCGTTGCGGAGCACAGGCTCCGGACGCGCAGGCTCAGCGGCCATGGCTCATGGGCCCAGCTGCTCCACCGCATGTGGGATCGTCCCAGACCGGGACATGAACCCGTGTCCCCTGCATCGACAGGCGGACTCTCAACCACTGCGCCACCAGGGAAGCCCCTTATACGCACTTAAAAAAAAAAATTTGTTGGAATATACTTGATTTACAATGTTGTGCTACTTTCTGCTGTACAGCAAAGTGAATCAGTTATACATATACACATATCCACTCTTTTTAAGATTCTTTTCCCATATAGGTCATTACAGAGTAGAGTTCCCTGTTCTATACAGTAGGTACTTATTTGCTATCTATTTTATATATAGTAGGGTGTACATGTCAATCCCCCCTGGTAACCATAAGATTGTTTTCTACATCTGTAACTCTATTTCTGTTTTGTAAATAAGTTCATTTGTACCAATTTTTTAGATTTCACATACAAGCAATATCATACGATATTTGTCCTTCTCTGTCTGACTTAACTTCACTCAGTATGACAATCTTTAGGTCCATCCATGTTATTGCAAATAGCATTATTTCATTCTTTTTTATGGCTGAGTAATATTCCATTGTATATATATGTACCACATCTTCTTTACCCATTCCTCTGTTGATGGACATTAGGTTGCTTCCATGTCCTGGCTATTGTAAATAGTGCTGCAATAAACATTGGGGTGCATATATCTTTTCTAATTATGGTTTTCTCTGTGTATATACCCAGGAGTGGGATTGCTGAATCATATGGTAGCTCTTTTTTCAGTTTTTAAGGAACCTCCATACTGTTCTCCATAGTGGCTGTACCAATTTACATTCCCACCAACAATGTAGAAGGGTTCCCTTATAGGCAGTTTAAATGGTCAAACTCTTGTCTTTGTCAAACCAGAAAGTGAAATATGATATATTATTATTATATCAATTAAGTGCAGATTACTAGGAAACTATAAGAACAAGTTTTAAAAAATATGAACAGGTAACTTTTCATCTTCATAACACTAAATATCTGGAATATGTGAATTTCAGACAAATTATTAAATATCAGGTCATGTCCCCTTGAGAAACCATAGCAATTATGCACATTATTATTATTATTATTATTTTTTTGCAGTACGCGGGCCTCTCACTGTTGTGGCCTCTCCCGTTGCGGAGCACAGGCTCCGGACGCGCAGGCTCAGTGGCCATGGCTCACGGGCCCAACCGCTCTGCGGCACGTGGGATCTTCCCAGACCGGGGCATGAACCCGTGTCCCCTGCATCGGCAGGTGGACTCTCAACCACTGCGCCACCAGAGAAGCCCACACATTATTTTTTTTAATGTGAATGTTTGAAAAAAAAGAATCATGATTGTACATGCATTACTACTGCTGTGTTTCTCTCTCAATTTTCAACTCTGTTATCATTTACACAACCACTGGGAGATAAATAAGGATAGACAGCTGGCTTTAACTGTATTTACCCTGCCTCCCCCCATAGACACACAAAGATTAAACAAAGACGGGTTCTGAGGTGAGAGAACATACATACGCAACACTAAATGCATAAAGCACACACATTAGAAAATAAGTCAGATCGTCTCACAAAAATGTAGGCTATACATACGAAAGAAAACAAAACCCCAACTTGCCCCGGAATTTAAGAAAACTTCATTTCAATTCATTCACATAAAAAGAATGAAGTTTATTTATCTATTCTTATGTCTTATTTAATGATGGTGATGATGATAACACCATGCTCATCTTGGAAAGAAAAGAAAAAATTTCACACACAGATGAGTAAAGTCTTCCCTGATGCTCTCATTTGAAAGTAATCACTTGTTCTCTTGAGCTGCTTAGAAAACACTTCTATTTTGCAGTGTATTATTATTGTTTTAATATGTCTTAATCTCCCTCATGTAATAAGTTTCATAAGGAAAGGAATTCTCTTATCTATCTTTAGACTCAAGATTATCAAGCATAATCATAGATACATAAAATTTACTTGTTGAATGAATTCTAATACAACCCTATTCTTGTAAGGTATTAAGCTCATTTAACAAATGAGGAAATTGTTTCAGAGAAGTTAAGTCATGTCTTTAAAGCCAAAACAATTAAGAAACAGTTGAGCTGGGACTGCAACCAGGCAAGGCCTTTTGTAGATAAGTCAGTGTTCTTTCCATAACAGCTAGCTTGATAATCTAGGGCTGGGCTTTTTATTGTAGTATTTCCATGCATTCTATATAAGTAAACTGCATTCATCCCTGAAGACACAGAGCTAGATTTAAATATGAACATAAAGTATACCAATATTAAAACATGAGCTTACAGTAGACAATAACAGAGTTAATTTTTAGTAAAATTGGTGGGAAGGAGAACTCTAAACATACAAATGAAAATACACTGTTAATACGTAAAGTTCACACACTATCTAAAAGCCATTACAACCTGGGCTATAATTTCATAATATGCAATTTGACAATCTTAATTAAGAAGAATGTTTATGAGGAATAATGAATTCAGTAAATTACTTCTTGAACATCTATATGTCTGGCACTGCGTTAGGAACTTGAAATACAAAAGTGAAAAATACATAGTCCCTGGAATCGAGAATAGTTTAAGTGTGACAGTGATATAAACCTTCCTTGTTCAAGCAGCATTATAATTACTAAAAGTCCAAAACAGATTATAATGGATATTTATACAATAACATCTATTTCTAAGTCATTTTCTGTGCAGACTTCACTGAACAGAATTTAATCCTTTATTAATGACTCACAGTTATTATAAGCACAAATACACAGACTCTTTTTTTTTTTAAATAAGTTTATTTATTTTTATTTTTATTTATTTTTGGCTGCATTGGGTCTTCATTGCTGCGTGCAGGCTTTCTCTAGTTGTGGCGAGCGGGGTCTACTCTTTGTTGAGGTGCAAGGGCTTCTCATTGCGGTGGCTTCTCTTGTTGTGGAGCATGAGCTCTAGGCATGTGGGCTTCAGTAGTTGTGGCACGTGGGCTCAGTAGTTGTGGCTTGCAGGCTCTAGAGCACAGGCTCAGTAGTTGTGGCGCACGGGCTTAGTTGCTCCGTGGCATGTGGGATCCTCCCGGACCAGGGCTCGAACCCATGTCCCCCTGCATTGGCAGGTGGATTCTTAACCACTACACCACCAGGGAAGCCCCAAGTACACAGACTCTTGGGGTATACCAGGATTATCTGCCCTTAAAGTAAAAGCCCTCAAATTCAAGAATCTTTGAGATATGTGTTTTTTTGCTGTTTGTGTGTTTTCTGTATATCATTTAATTTCATCTCTGTCCTTCTCTTCCATCCACTCAAACTTCAACCAACATTTTTTGAACCCTGCTATATCCCAGGCAATGTTTTAGGTGCTGGAGATACAATGGTGAACAGGAGAGACAAAAGCCAAGGCATTAAGGAATTTATATTCCAATGGGAAAGCAGATAATATGAAACAAAATATGTCACAAGTGCTCCAAAGAAAACTAATGTAGGCTAAAGGAATAGAACAGGCTATTTTAGGGTAGGCTGATCAGGGAAGGCCTTACTAAGGAGGTGGCATTTGAGTAGAGACTACATGAAGTGAGGGAGTAAGCTATGTAGACATCTTGGGGAAGGGCCTTTTAGGCAATTGAAAGGGCTCATAGATGGGAATGAGCTTGGTGTGTTCAAGGAATAGTAACAAAACAAATGTGGATGGAAACAGTGAAACCAAGTGAAACTGAGTGTGGGGAGGATGACAGAATATGAAGTTAGAAAGGCCCAAAGGGACGAGATCTTGCATACCATAGTAGGAACTTTCAATTTTATTGTAAGAGAAGCCATTTAATGGATTTTGAAGAGGAGAGTGACGTGATCTAACCTGCATCAAAAAGACACTGGTGACTATAGAGAGGCAAGAGTGGCTGTATGGAGACAAATTCAGGAGGCTGCTTCAGTGTACTAAGAAAGAAATGGTTGCTAGACAAGGATGGCACTGGTGGAGGTGGTCAGATTCAGAGCATGTTTTGAAGACAGAGCAACAGGATTTGCTGATGGACTGGAGATGAGGTATGAGGGAAAAGAGAGGCTAAAGGTTTCTGGCCTGAGAAACTGATGAGAGGTGATGCTATATGGAAGAGAAAGCATATTTAGTGATAAAATAAATTTGTCCACATAAGTTTAAGATGCCTATTAGACATCTAAGTAACAAATTAGATATCATTCAGAGGAAACAGTATATAATTTGGGAGTTATTAGCATATAGATGATATTTATAGCCATAGGCTTCAATAAGATTGCCTAGCTAGGAAATGAATGTAGACAGAGAAAGATCTGAGGACTGAACCCAGTGGTACTTCTTAACATTTAGATGCCAAAAGAAAGCTAGAAAGGTGTCTGGGAAAAAACTGCCAGCAAAGTTTAATAAGAAAACCAGCAGAGTGTGGTTTCCCATCAAAATCAACTGAAGAGTTTCAAGAAGGAATGATCCACAATGTCAAAATGCTGCTGAGAGGTAAGTCAAATTCTGTTGGGAGGTTTAGTAAGGTTATGCCTCCCTTGTTGTTACACCATTCCTTGAGGTTGGGAATGTACTTGTTTCTAGCAATTCCTCCTACCTCTTTACAATTTTTAACTGCTATAGAATAGAATATTATATAATTAATTTTCTTAAAATTATATGCAAAGTAATTGTAAATAGGTTCTGGAAAGGATGTGAGAGAGTCTCCAAAAAGCAAAGTAAATGACCTTAGTGCATAAATTTTGTAAAATCTTATTTACTCTCATCTGTGATCAAGGGAGCTGAGGTTATTGATAACTAAACGCTGAAAATGATGGAGAATAAGGAGTCACAATCTAGCAATGTTTAAAGGGATAATTATATCCAAAGGGGAAAACAAACCAAAATAACCAACACCCACCCTCCCATCATTTATAAAAACAAAAAACTTAGCCCTGACAGATTTCTCTTTCAGTAGCTTTGGTAGTTTGGCAGTAACTTTGGTAGAGGGACAGAATATGACATAAGCAGATTAGTAATAATTTAATTCAAAATTTAAACTACTCACCGGCAAGCACAAGGGTAATATTCAGTACAATGAATATTCCACAAAATAGGCCAACTCTAAAAGTAGTCCATGCTGGTGCAGGCTGTGGACAGAAAAATAGCATTTTGAGTAAAGGGCAAAATACTGAATACATTTAGTATACAGTGTAATAAATTAGCACTATAAGCCTCAAAGTTCTACCATGAACATATTTTATGATCTGAAGTTTTGTAAATCTGGACCAGGGAATCATCCTTCATTATCCAATAATACTAGAATTGAAGTGCCAGTTTATTCTAATTATTTTACAGAAATCTGTGTCACTAAATAAAGAGAATTAGAATCTCAGGCATCAAATTATATATATACTGAGTTTTCTTATAGGAGAGATTAAAGTGCAATTTCACTTTTACAGTGTGTACATATTTAAATTTTGTAAGTCAGTATTACTCAGTTAGAGTTCACATATTTGGTACTATATAATTAGAGACAATGATAAAAATAAGAATACTCATTTTCTGAGTACTTACAGTATTATATTGGAGTACCTTAAAGTGAATTTTTAAACATACACTCATGTCAGAATCTCCAGGATGGGGGCTTTCCTGGTGGCACAGTGTTAAGAATCCGCCTGCCAATGCAGGGGACACCGGTTTGAGCCCTGGTCTTGGAAGAATCTACGTGCCATGGAGCAACTAAGCCCGTGTGCCAGAACTACTGAGCCTGTGCTCTAGAGCTCTCACACCACAACTACTGAAGCCCACACCCCCTAGGGCCTTCATGCCACAACTACTGAGCCCACGTGCTGCAACTACTGAAGCCCACATGCCTAGAGCCCGTGCTCCGCAACAAGAGAAGCCATTGCAATAAGAAGCCCACACACCGCAATGAAGAGTAGCCCCCGATTGCCCCAACTGGAGAAAGCCCACATGCAGCAACAAAGACCCAACGCAGCTAAAAAAAAAAAAAAAATCTCCAGGATGTGTACATGCAAAAATTATTTTTCTCTATTATAAATGTAATTTTAAATTTAGAAAATAATAAAAAGAAATCTACTGCTTTCCAAAATAAATAAAAGAAAGTGCCTGATACTTTAAACATAAATAGATGAGAAATATGGAGAGATGATCTTATCAATTTAAATATTTGCTATGAAATTGTAGTAGGTGATATTACATTTAAGATTCTTCAAATGTTTTCTAAAAATCTTTAAATGAAAAAAAACACTGAGACTTCCTCTGACTTATTATTCATCAGTAATAGATAACTGTATATTAGTTTAGGACTGAAAGCATTCAGAAGGAAGATGGTCATTTGTCTTTTTCAAAAAAATTTTTTAAATTGTGTAATTTATCATATTTACAAAAGGATGTGTGTGTGTGTGTGTGTGTGTGCATACACACACATATACATATAAATAATGTATTTGGGCTATTAGAGACAATAATAAAAGGTACCTAAACCTATCACCCATCTTTAGAAGAGCACATTTCCATTTCTTTGAAATCCTTACCCCTTCCAGATCCAAAATCCTTCCCTCCTCACCACAGATAACCATTTCCATGTTTTCTTTAGCTCTATCCCTTCTACATGCAGTCCTAAAGACTTAATTTTTCAAAATTAATTTCCTTATTTTTAACAGCTTTATTGAAATATAATTGACATACAATGAACTGCACATATTTAAAGTATAAAATTTGTGTCTTTCCTCTCTGGATGCTTTTAAGATTTTTCTTTAATTTTCAAGCAGTGTGACTATAATATGCCTATGTTTTTTTTGTTTTTTTATTTTTTTTGCAGTACGCGGGCCTCTCACTGTTGTGGCCTCTCCCGTTGTGGAGCACAGGCTCCGGACGCGCAGCCTCAGTGGCCATGGCTCACGGGCCTAGCCACTCCGCGGCACGTGGGATCTTCCCAGACCGGGGCACGAACTTTTGTCCCCTGCATCGGCAGGTGGACTCTCAACCACTGTGCCACCAGGGAAGCCTCATGTTTGTTTTTTTTTAACTGTTTTTCTGACTAAATTGACATACAATAAACTGTACATATTTAAGGTGTACAAAATCTGATATTTTGACATATGTAAACGCCTATGAAACTATCACCATAACCAAGGCAATGAACGTTGTCTATCATCCCCAAGAGTTTCCTTTTGGCCTTCTGTAATTCTTTTCCTCTTACCACATCCCATCCCACCTCCAGGCAACTGCAAACCTGCTTTCTGCCACTATACATTAGTTGGCATTTTCCAGAGTCTTAGGTAAACAAAACCATAATATATATATTCTTTTTTGGTCTGGCTTATTTTTTCAGAATAATTATTTTGAGATGCATCATGTTGTTCCATATATCAAGGTTTATTTTTTTTATTGCTGAGTAGTATTCCATTGTATGGATATACCACATTGTTTACCTATTCACCTACTGATAGACATTTGGGTTGTTACCAGTTCTAGGCTATTATGAATAAAGCTGCTATGAACGTTTGTTTTTATATGAACATATGCTTCATTTGTCTTGGGTAAATACTAAGGAGTGTAATGGCTAGATCTCACTGCAGGTGAAGGTTTAACTTTTTAAGAAGCTGCCAAATTATTTTCCAGTGTGGTTACATCATTTTATATTCCACCAGCAGCATATGCGATATCAGAGTTCTTGGCCCTCCAAGATTCAGTATGTCAATCTTTTCAATTTCAGTCATCCTAATAGGTGTGTGTTATCCCACTGTGGTTTTAATTTGCATTTCCCTATTAATGATACTAAGCATCTATTCACATGCTTATCTGCCACCCAGACATCTTTGGTTAAGATCTTCTGACCATTTTTAAGTTGGGTTGTTTGTTTTCTTATTATTGAGTACTAGAGTTCTTTATATGTTCTGGGTACAAGTCTTTTATCAGATATATTTTTAAAATATTTTCTCCTAGTCTGTTGCTTTTCATTCTCTTAACGTTGTCTTTTGAAGAGCAGGAGTTTTTAATCTTGGTGAAGTGCTTTTGGTGTCATTTCTAAAAAATCTTTGCATAACCCAAAGTCACCAGGGCTTTCTCCTATATTTTCTTCAAAAATTTGTAGTTTTAGATTTTCATTTAGGTCAATGGTACATGTAAAATTAATTTCTATACATGGTATGAAGAATGTATGGAAGTTGTGCGTTTGGTTTTTTTTTTAGCATATGAAAGCCAATTGCTCCAGCCCCATCTGTTGAAAAGACTATCCTTTCTCCAGTGAACTGCCTTTGCATATTTATTGAAAATTAATTGTTCATATATTTATTGGTCTACTTTTGGATTCTCTATTCTGTTCCATTAATCTATCTGCCTATCCTGACACTAATAACACACTGTCTTGATTACCATAGCTTTAATAAGATTGATACCACATAGTGTTAATCCTTCAACTTAGTTGTTCCAAAGTTGTTCTGGCTATTCTTGGTCCTTTGTACTTTCATATAAATTTAAAAATTTGCTTAATAATTATTTTTTAAAAGCCCTGTTGAGATTTTGAGTTAGTTTGTGTTGTATCTATGAATCCATTTAGGAAGAAATGATATTTTAAAAATACTGGGTTTTCTAACTTCTCTCATGTATCTGTCTTCTTTAATTTCTCAATAGTGTTTTATAGTTTTCAATGTAAAAGTATTGTACATCTTTTGTCAGATTTAACCCTAAATATCTATGTATTGATCTTGTATTCTGCAACCTTGCTAATAAAGTCAGTAATTAGCTCTAGTAGCTATTCTATAGAGTCACTGGATTTTCTAAATAGGTCATCATGTCATCGGCAAAAAAAAACAAACGAAACAAACCCCACCAGTTTTACTTCTTTCTTTCTAATCTAAATGCCTTTTATTTCTTTTTCTTACCTTACTACACTGGCCATAATCTCCAGTACAATGCTGAATAGAAGTGGTAAGAGTGAATACACTTTTTTGTCCCTAGTTAGGGAGAAAGCATTCAGTGTTTCATCATTAAGTATGATATTAGTTTTAGGTTTTTCATAAATACCTTTTATTGGGATGAGGAAGATCTTTCTGTTATTCATTTCCATTCCGTCACAGAACATATTTTCTATGATTTAAATCCTTTTAAATTTACTGAGATTTAGTTTATGACACAGAAGATATCACTTAAATGCCTTTTGGTATAACTACTATGTAGATATCATTTAACAAATGCTTTTTTAGGCACAACTATTGCATTTTAGAGGAAAGTATGTAGTAGCCCAGACTATCTGAAGCCCTCCCACTCGTATATCATCAGATAAATATCTCATCTTAATCATTTGGTCTGACGAAGTTAGCATGTCAGTAAGAATAAACAAGAGAAGTAGTACAGGATAAGAAGAGAAAGGTGGGAAGACATTACAATTTATTATGAAGTGAGATCTGGCAACTAATTTTTTAAAGTGAAAATAGCAATAGTAATAAACACTTATAAACTTTGGCTGAAACCGTTTTTAAAGTAATGAAACTAGTATATTTTATCAGCTAACAGATCATGTTGATTATTAAATAGGTAAAATGAACCAACCAAACAACTGGAAACAAATACGAACCTGAGCAGCTCCCAAAGGGGGAACACGTAAACGCTTCATAGCTTTTTGTCTGTCACCATCTTCAAGTTCATTGGTCACTACAGCCTAAAAGACACATTGTTAACTTTTGACACAGGTTATACTGAACTTGAGTATTGCATAAATAATTCTGAACCATTTATACATATGGTATTCTGATAACCCCCTGGTGAATATATACTGAATAAAGCAAAAGAAAAAATCATGAGTAAGAATGTATGTATTTAAAGCAAGCAACTAATAACAAAAGGAGAATAAAAATGAGGAGTTATTTCATTAAAAATAAGACATTAATATTATTGAAAATATGTGGTATATAAGTGAGATTCCCGTACCTCAGTTTCAGAGATGAGCTGGTTGATTTTCTTGCATGTATAAAACGGGGCTACTTCTACATGAGCCACTCGCCAATCTGCTCCACGAGATGTTTCCAGGATCTTGTCATGCTTTTTAAGGATTTTTCGGAACCCTGTAAAATTCAGATTCTACAGAAAGAAATGAGAAACACTACTATAATTTCCACCACCATGAGAGAAGATGAAAAATAATAAGCCCTTTGTGTTGACTGAGTTGACTGAAGATTGAGTACCGAGGGAAATGGCAATGCTTTCATAAAAGCATGTACTATAAAAATAAGACTCTTCTTTCTTATTTCATTTATTCATTTCAAGGTAGTATGCTATCAGTAATACAAATAAACTCTGGATTATGAACCCTATTATTTCTATTTCATGTAAATTAATGGAAGTCTTAAACTCAAAACATTTTTATTTCCATTTTCCTATGTACAACTGTTTTCAAAATAGTTAATTTATGTTATTTTGCTTCTTTGATCAAAAGCATATATTCAGAAAATCCTCTGGATTTATCATGAACTGAATACATTTATTAGTTCTTTGCTTTTTGCAGGCCTGGTATAGCTATGTATTTCCCCCTGCTATGCAAGCATGTATGAACAAGCACAGGAAATGGATAATCATCTATTTTTCTTAACTTTTATTTTGTTTCCATCCATTCTGTTTGGGGATGGGTGTGCAAAGAGTCAGTGGAAAAGAAGAAGTGATCATACTTACAGGGTTTTGCTGATAACGGGTAGGAGCCTGTACTTTTCCTGCATTTCTACAATATCAAAATACTATACTTTTCTATATTCTCAAATCCTGTTGTTCTTTAATCAACAGACAAAAAAGCACGAAACTGTGGATTTGCAAGGTTCTTTAAATCAGAGGTCTCCCAAATTTGATCATATATCACCATCAGTAAAAAAAAAAAATTGAGCAGTCACTCCAAATTAGGTTTTGCTTGCTTGCCTGTTTGTTAATATTTTTTTTCATACTTTAATGGGTCATCTTAAACTCTCCTTGCGTGTATACACCATGATTTGGAGACTGCTTTCCATTCATTTTCCTTTCTCATCATTTTCAAAATAAATGTATTCTTACAGGATAGACAGTCTCAAAGGATAAAGGACAGATCAGAACTTTTATAATTAACAATTATTTTCAAGAAGCTTTTTATAATGACCCAAAACAAAAACTTCTGGCAAAGTTAATAAAGTAAAATTTAATAAGGGTATTTCCCTGTAATGCATAAGCATAATTAATAAAATATGAAATGTTAATATTTTATATCACTATAAGCAAGAAGAAACACATTTGTTTCTTTTTAAAGATAAATTATAAAGCTATGGGTAAATTTCAAAGGAAAGGAATTTCCCATCATATATATCTTATATAATTACTTTCCTATTCTTCTAAAGTTATTTTCTGAGTTCTTCTTTGAATGTTAAAATATTAAATCACCAAAAAAGAAAGCAGAATTATGAAAGGGAAAGATGGAAATAAGTACATGCATTAAACTTAGATTACTACAGATAAGGCACTACAATTACTTTTTTTTTTTTTTTTTTTTGGCGGTACGCAGGCCTCTCACTGTTGTGGCCTCTCCCATTGCGGAGCACAGGCTCCGGACGTGCAAGGTGAGCGGCCATGGCTCACGGGCCCAGCCGCTCTGCGGCATGTCAGATCTTCCCAGACCGGGGCACAAACCCGTGTCTCCTGCATCGGCAGGCGGACTCTCAACCACTGTGCCACCAGGGAAGCCCTATAATTACTTTTTATTTTAAAATTCCAATATTTACCCATGGTAATACTTGTATTATATAACCTCTAGTTTTTATATAGTGTATGATCCTGTGATGATCTTAACCAGATTAGAAGTAATAATCAAAAGAATAAAATGGAAAAATAATAGCACATAAGGTCTCTTTAAAGATTAGGGAGATGCTTTTGCCTATTTAAATGTTTATTATTTAACGAATAATCTGTTTTTCAATATATTCTTTATAGATTTAACTATGTGAACAAATCTATAAAGAATTACAAATGAATAAATGCCAAGCATTTCCATAATTTAGCATACATGGTAATTCAACTTTTTAGGTTGGGTTTTAAAATTTCTTTTCTTTCCCAAGTTTTGTTTTAGTTTTTGTTTTAAATACAGTCATATTGCAGCCTGTGGATAATAAAACTGAAAGGGTTCTCAGTGGAAAGTTGAAAAGTCAGTATCTTTTACACTATTAGTGTTAGTTGCAGGAAAGTTAACTATACAGCTGCTTTCATGGAAATTTTGCTGTGGTGGAATATAAAAGTTCTTACATAGCCAGCAGCGGTTGGGTAGACGTACATTATTTCTTATTTCTACTCATTACTTAGAGATGCCTCTAAAAATAGGAAGCAAACTATTACTCTTTGAGTCAAGGGCTACTCCTGAATACTGTACAAAAAGGTTTTGGAAAACTGATCTTCAAAAACAGAAGTCTTGTTAACATTATTTTACCATCTCTGATAACCTGGTTTTTAGCCAATTAAGAACATTTGAAATCCCAATAAGAACAGAAAGAATAATGACATGCTACGAATTTCCCTTTTTGGATTGACCCATTAGTAGAGCTCAAGGAAATTCCATTTATTTTAATTTCTCAATCATTTAAAGGTTCTATCCTCCACGGTAAGAACTGAAGTACCTGATAGTTCTGCAGCAGGATAAGACTGAGGTAGAACTCGCTGAAGGCCAGTTTAAGGTCTTTAAGATTCCTATGTTGGACACGTTCCTCATGGGACAGGTGGAAGACTGGCTTTCTGCGTTGTCGCAGTGTAGTAACACCAGTGCTTTCTTTCTGTGCATCCAGTGATGACTGAAGTTCATTCTGAAGTGTAGCAAACCTGCGCTGAGCCTCTGCGAGCTTTTCTGTAAGAAGTAAAACAGAACTGTCAAATCATCAAGATAAAAAAGCTGGTAAAAGTTCTCACTGACGTCTGAATTTTTACTAATTAGTCTGTTTCCCTAAAATTTCTAGGGAAAAAAATGCTACATTTAATATTTAGAACTAGATAGGAAAAACATGTTTCAGTGTAATACCCTCCTTTCATTCTACCCCACACTTCCCCTCAGCAAAACCTCAAGTGTACCCTTTCTTTTTACAGATGAAGATTGAAGACACAGAATTTAAAAGCCGTGAAGAGTGAGAATACAAAATGGTACAGCCGCACTGTAATTTGGAAAACAGTCTGGCAGTTCTTAAAAAGTTAAACATAGAGTTACCTTAAGATCCAGCAATTCCACTCCTAGGTATATAACCAAGAAAACTGAAAATATACATGTACACAAAAACTTGTACACATAACACAAACTGGGACTCATAATAGTCAAAAAAGTGGCAACAAACCCAATGTCCATTAACTGATGAATGGATAAGCAAAATATGGTATATATGTACAATGGAATATTGTTCAGCCATAAAAAAAGAATGAAGTATTGATACATGCTAAAACATGGATGAATATTGAAGATATAATGCTCTAAGTGAAAGACACCAGACATAAAATGCCACAAAATTGTGTGATTCCACTTATAGGAAATGTCTAGAACAGACAAGTCCACAGAGACAGAAAGCAGATGAGCGGTTGGCAGGGCCTGGGGGGAGGAAGGAATGAGGAGTGACTGCTAATGGGTACAGGGTCTTTTTGGGGTGATGAATGTTCTGGAATTAGATAGTGGTGATGGTTGTACAACCTTGTGAGTATTTATGCTTTAAATCTCTCTCCTCAGGAATAGCTCATTCCCTTTTAAGGGCTCACATGAGTAAGTCAGGCTTACCTGGAATAATCTCACTTTCTTAAAGTCAATTGATTTGAGACCTTAATTATACCTGCAAAATCCTTTATAGCAGCACCTAGGTTATTGTTTGATTGAATAACTGAGAGAAAGTATGTGTATATCAGGGGGAAGGGATTTTGGAGGGCACCTTAGAATTATGCCCACCACATACTTTGAACTGATGCAAATTTCTGAAGACTCCAAATGCCATTTGGTCCCGCAGTCAAAATGGAGATTTACAGTTGTTCAAGTGATAGATGGAATATTAGCCCAGGTTTAACTCAGTGGACCCAGTTGGTTCACAGGCTCACACTACGATTATATTTCCAGTTCTGGAATGTATAACTGGAATAGAAATACTGGGCTACTGGTGGAATCTCCACATTTGACTCTGACCCAGGAGAGGAAGGGCTAGTGGAAGCTCTGGAATTTCTCCCTATCAAGATAGTAAGCCAAAAGCACAAACATATCCCTAGGGGAACTTCAGAGGTTAGTGCCACCACCAGGGATGATGTTATCTATCACATCTCCATTTAACTCATCTGGTTAGTCTGTGCAGAAGTTGGACGAATCTTGAAGAATGAGTGTGGATTATTGTTAAGCTTAATCAATAATGGTCACCCTGAAGGCAGCTGCTATTCTAGATCTGGTACTATCACTGGTGCAAATCAACACAGCCTCTAGCACCCGGTATGAAACTATGCATCAAATAATGCAGCTACTTACCTGGCAGCAGAGGCTAGCAATGAGCTCCAGAAATGATATCATTCCTCATTGGAACTGACTAACCACCTAGCGGCAGGTTGCATGCACTGGATGCAGGGGGCAGAGATTTGTCCTCTTTGGAACAAGTGCTTTCTTTAAATGGATGTGCCTTCCCTGCTTATAATGCTTCTGCTAGCACCACTATCAACTGGAATGCCTTATCCATTTTCAAGGTGGTAGAGCAATGAGCATATCTATGGAATAAAATGGTTTTATCACATACCCAGAAATAGCTGGCCTAACATAAAGGCTTACTGAAATGAGTTGGGAGACAAAACTCTCAAAGGTTGGGGTTCTGTCTTTCAGAATGCAGTATTGAGACCATTATTTGGTTCTATCCTAACCACAGCCAAAATTCAGTCTAGGAATGAAGGGGTGGAAGTAGGAGTGGCTCCTTTCACTATTATATCTAATAATCCACTCAACCTGCAACTTGAGCTCTGCCTGTTGGTTAGTCCTCAAGAGGAAATGCTTCTTTCATAGGAATACAACAATGGTTCTGTTGAATTGGAAGATGAGACTGCCACCTGGCCTTTTCTGGACTCATCATACCATTGAACCAGTAGGCAAAGAAGGTGTTTACTGGTTAAAGTGATTCTGATTACCAAGGGGAATAGATAACACAACAGTAGCAATGAGCATTGTGTCTGCCACCCAGGAGACTTCCTGGAACACATCCTAGTACTTCCATGACCAATAACAGAAGTTAATGGAAAACTAAAGCAATCAAAAAAAGACAGAATTACTAAGGATTCAGCCCCTTCAGGAATTAAAGTTTCGGTTATCCCACCCAGTAAAGAACCCTCACCAACTAAGGTACTGGCTGAGGGCAAAGGAAATATGGAATGGGCAGTGGAAAAAGCAAATAACAGATATCAACTATCACTTCTTGACCTTCTTGTTCTGTCTTTTACATACCTTGTATTTTCCTCTCTATCTCTGTGCTGCATTCTGAGTTACTACTTCAACACTACCAGTTTATAAATTCTCTTTTAAGGTCTAGCTAACTTACAGTTTAATTGATTAAGATATTAATTTAAGTAATTATATTGTCATTTAAAAATTTCTAATTGGTTATTTTTAAAAGTCAATTTTGATAGTTTCTTATTCTTTGCTCATGGTTTTGATACTTTCTTTTATGTCTATAGCCATATTAAGTATATGTTTTATTTTGTACCTGATAATTTGCATATCCTATACAGCAGGAGTCCCCAACCCCCAGGGAACTGGGCCACACAGCAGGAGGTGAGCAGCGAGCAAGCCAGCAAAGCTTCATCTGTATTTACAGCCGCTCCCCATCACTCGCATTACTGCCTGAGCTGCGCCTCCTGTCAGATCAGTGGCGGCATTAGATTCTCATAGAAGTGCAAACCCTACTGTGAACTACACAAGCGAGGGATCTAGGTTGCGTGCTCCTTATGAGAATCTAATGCCTGATGATCTGAGGTGGAGCTGAGGCAGTGATGCTAGTGCTGGGGAGCGGCAGCAAATACAGATTATCATTAGCAGAGAGGTTTGACTGCACAGAGACCATAAAAAATCAACTGCTTGCAGACTCATATCAAAACCCTATCAGTGAGTGTCAAGTGAAAACAAGCTCAGGGCTCCCACTGGTTCTGCGTTACGGTGAGTTGTATAATTATTTCTATTATTATTATGTTGTAATATATAATGAAATAAAGTGCACAATAAATGTAATATGCTTGAATCATCCCCAAACCATCCCCTGCCACCCCAGTCCGTGGAAAAACTGTCTTCTGTGAAACCGGTCCCTGGTGCCAAAATAGGTTGGGGACCACTGCTATACAGCTTTTAAGTGTTTTGTAGTCTTCCATAATTGTAAGAAATGGAACTATTCACCTATATTCAAATTTCACATTTAAGTCAAAGGGAAAATGAATCTAGGGTTTTTTTTTAAATACAAGTTAAGCATTTCTATTGCATATGTGTTTGTCTTATTATCCTCATGATCAAAAACAGTACAGAACTTCTTGGTTCACAGTGCACTTTACATCTCAGCAATTTTTTCATGATGCTCCTAGGCCGAAAAATATACCAAACACTTCTATTAAGTAGTTAGGTTCAAACAACTTAAGTATTTACGTCCCAACCACTTCATAGCTATTTGCAAAAATATTATACACAAATACAAACATATATATAATGAAAGAATGTGAAGGTTTATCCAAAGTCCACTATAAATTACTATGCTAATTAAAAGCCTCAGGTAATTTAGTAAGATCGAAAAGCCAGGATATCCTAAGTAGCATGAATGATCAACTTTTGTTGTTAAAACATTAATACATGAGTTTGCTATTTGTTTAGCTTCCTTAGCCAGAGTTGTCAATACATAAATTTTGTAATTATTTACATCTTTCAGTACAAGGATATTAAAAATGTAAGAAGCCCCAAAAAATGGATAGAAAAATAACCTGTATGCCATCAATAAGCCAACAAACAGCCTCTCCGTCTGGCAAACTCCTTACTCATTTTACATGGCTAATCATAAATACCATTTTCTATGTAAAATTCTTCTTGTCTAACAACTCTCAGTCACAATTTGAAGCTCCCTCCTTGAGGCTCTCATGGGACTACATATATGCATACATAGAACACTGCATATAATTCTTTGTTTATATTTTTGCTTTATTTACTAACTGTGAGCTCTCTGAGGGCAATGGTTCTATAATCCTCATCTTTCATGATGAACAATTTTTTTAATCTTTTTTTTTAAATCCTTTTTTTTTTTTAGATGTTGGGGGTAGAAGTCCATCAATTAATTTATTTATTTTTGCTGTGTTGGGTCTTCGCCTCTATGCGAGGGCTTTCTCCAAGTTGTGGCAAGAGGGGGCCACTCTTCGTCGCGGTGCGCGGACCTCTCGCTATCGCGGGCTCCCTCGTTGCGGAGCACAAGCTCCAGATGCGCAGGCTCAGTAGTTGTGGCTCACGGGCCTAGTTGCTCCACGGCATGTGGGATCCTCCCAGACCAGGGCTCGAAGCCGTGTCCCCTGCATTAGCAAGCAGACTCTCAACCACTGCGCCACCAGGGAAGCCCCTAATATCTTTTCTTCAGGTATGTTTTACATACCATAAAATTCACCCACTGTAAGCATAAAGTTTGTTGATTTTTTCGTAAATTTGTAGAGTTGTACAATCATCACCACAATCCAATTTTAGAACATTTCCATTACCTCGTACACTTCTGTCATGGTTGCTGGCTGTTGATCCTCACTCCCACCCCGAGGTAACCACTGATCTGCTTTCTCTGTCTACAGATTTGCCTTTTCTGGACACCTTATATAAAGGAATCATACAATATGTAGTCT